GGCCACATTGGGGAATAATGACAGTGGCTGTGGCAGTGACTGCAAGAACAAATAGATGTACCCTAGGGCAGGAGTCCCCGATGCCTGGGCCACGGACCAGGTACAGGGTACTGCTGCTCTAGGGGAAGGTCTGAAAGACCAGGTGAAAGGGTGGGATTTGAAAATTTTGGGAAACATGTTGAAGGTGGGGTTTGGAATGTGAGGCTTCCAATTGTATATACTGTTCAAACTGCATGGGACTTTGGGCCCAGGAGTTCAAGACCAGCCTAAGCAACATGGCAAAACCCTGTCTGTACAAAAAATACAAAAAAAGTAGCCGGGCATGGTGGCATACCCCTGTAGTCCCAGCTACTCGGTAGGCTGAGGTTGGAGAATTACCTGAGCCTGGGAGGTTGAGGCTGCAGTAGATGCCAGATTGAGACTGTTTAAAAAAAATGTGTGAGGAAGACAGCTGAGGCAAGGATATTAAGTAAGAAGATGGTTTATAAGCCTGGCCATTTGAAAATATAGGCTTAGACCAGTAGATTACAATTTATATTTTACCTTTTTATTTTCCAACTCTTTAATCTCTAGGAGTAACTGGAAATTTTCAGAAGTTACTATCTCTACTATGGGGATAGATAGTCAGACACCAATGTTCACAAATTACTCTTGAAACTTGATGCAAACAACCTGTTTAAAAACTGATGTAATGAGAGGAATTTCATGGATGCAAATGAACACCTGTGAAAATTCTTAGGCAAGAACTGCTTCATTTAGCAGCACCAGGTTAGCAGTTTGAGAGAGGATCTTTTTTGGGTCTACATGCCCAAATTTACAGATTGTTTTGATACTTGAATCTGCCATAATGTTTGTTGAATAAATAATCTCTATCTTTGAGGGAGTTACTGAAATTTTTTATAATCAAAATCCTGAAAGGAATACATTTAGATTGTATGCATCTCAGTGTACTCTGAGGCCTGTGGATATTTGCTGTTCTTTTTAAAGAATTTAGGCATCTTAAACTCTTGGCATATAAAATTATTCTTAGGAACTATATGGATGTAATTCAAGTGTAATACCACCTATACATTTGCCAGAAATCACAGATATAAATATATATATACATATATATGTGTATATATACTTTTTCTCATTTCCAGTAACAATGAAAATCCTATAACTTTTTGCTACAGATGAAAATAACTGGGATCATGAATGAAATGACCAGATGGTTGCCCTATCACCTAACAGTGAAGGTATCCCCACTCGACATGTTTCTGGTTTCTTAAGACTTTAATATATTGTTCTTAACATTTATTTGGGCTGTATTTGCATTTTTGGAAGCTGACCAGTTTCTACACATATCTAAATGCCTCTATTTGAAGATACAGCAATAGAAATTGTCCCATCTAAAGAAGAAGGAGGAGGAGGAGGAGGAGGAGGAGAAAAGGGAGTGAGAAACGTAGAGAACCTCAGGAATGTGTGGCACAATATTTAAAAAGCTGACGTTATGGAGAGTTAAAGTATCAGGAAGAGAGGAGAAAAAGAATGAGATGGCAAACATTTGAAAAAATAGTGGCTGAAAACATCCTAAATTTAATAAAATGTTTACATTTTCTGATTGGATAAGCTTTGTGAATCCCAAACAGGATAAATACAAAGAAAAACAAACTAGACACATCATAGTCAAACTACTGAAAACAAACAAACAAACAAACAAAAAACAAAGGGGAATCTTAAAAGCAGTAAATAAAAATGACACATTATATATAGGAGAATAATGATTTCAATGGTTGTGGACTTCTCAGCAGAAATTATAGAAGTCAGGGACAGTGGAATGAAATTGTTGAAGTGCTTAAAGAAAAAACTGTCAGCTTAGAAATCTCTGTTTAGCAAAAATATCCTTCAAGAATGAAAGCAAAATGAAGACATCTTCAGATATCAGAAAACTGAGATTTCATCACCAGAAGACCTGCACTTCCAGAAGCTAAAGAGAGTCGTACAGAATATGAGAAAAGGAATGAAAAGCATAAAAAATTATAAATTCTGGGGTAAACATCAAAGACCAATTTTCCTCTTAATTTTTTCATATATGCACAACTGTATAAAGGACATATTATAATATTGACTTAAGGTTTATATCACATATAGATAGATTATATGGCAGCTATGGCATAAAAGATGGTGGCAGTGTTGGTGGTATGGCTGGGGAGGGTAAATGGACCAATAAAATTGCAAGTAGACTGAGAAGTTAAGGGATTTTATTGTAGTCTCTAGAGGAGCTTCTAAGAAATCATGTAAAAGACTAAAAGACCAATAGGTAAGTTAAAATGAAATTATAAAAATATTCACTTAATCCAAAAGAATATAGGAAAGGGAGAACAAGAGGGACTAACAGCAGAGGAAACAAACATGAAGCAAATAATAAAATAATACAGCATAACCAATTAGTTTTATCCCAGGAATTCAAGGTTTGTTTAACAATATATTGAAAATCAATATGACTCACCATATTAACAGAATAAAGGAGAAAAACTATCTGTTCATTTTCACATGTAGATAAAAAATATGACAAAATTTGATATCCATTTATGAGAAAATTTCTCACCGAACTGAGACTATAAAGGACTTCTTCAACTTCATAAAGAGCATTTATGAAAAACCTACAGCAAGCATTATACTTAATGGTGAAATATTAAATGATATTCTACCAAAATCAGAACAAAGGCAAATATGCTGTCTTTTTTTTTTACCACTTCTACTCAATATTGAATTGGAGCTTCTAGCCACTGCAATAACGAATGATAAAATAATAAAGATTGGAAAGAAGGAAGCAAAATCATCCTTATTTGCAGGCAATATGATTGTTTACATATGATTGTTTTGTACATCCTAAGGATCTACAAAATAATTAGAAGTAGTGTATTATTCCATTCTCACACTGCTATAAAGAACTACCTGAAACTGGGTCATCTCTGAAGAAAAGAGTCTTAATTGACTCACAGTTCCACAGGCTATACAAGAGGTATGGCTGGGGAGGCCTCAGGAAACTTATAATCATGGCAAAAGGTGACAGGGATGCCAGCACATCTTCACATGGTGGCAGGTGAGAGAGAGAACGAAGGGCGAGGTGCTACCCACTTTTAAAAGAAGCAGATCTCATGAGAATTCCATTACAAGATGGCACTAGAAGGATGGTGCTAAACCATTAGAAACCACCCTTATGATTCAATCACCTCTCACCAGCACCCCTCCCAACACTCAGTATCACAATTCAACATGAGATTTGGGTAAGGACACAGAACCGAACCATATCATTTTGTACCCGGCCTCTACCAAATGTCATGTCCTTTTCACATTTCAAAAACAATTATGCCTTCCCAACAATCCTCCAAATTCTTAACTCATTCCAGAGTTAACTCAAAAGTCCCAGTCCAAAGTCTCATCTGAGACAAGGCAAGTACCCTTTACCTATGAGCCTGTAAAATAAAGAAACAAGTTAGTTACTTCCAAGATACAATGCGGGTACAGGCATTGAGTAAATGCCCCCATTCCAAAAGGGAGAAATTGGCCAAACAAAGGGGCTACAGACCTCTTGCAAGCAAAACCCAGGAAGACAGTCATTAAATCTCCAAGCTCCAAAATACTCTCCTTTGATTCGATGTCTCACATCCAAGGCACACTGATGCAAGGGGTGGGCTCCCAAGGCCTTGGGCAGCTCTGCCTCTGTGGCTTTGCAGGATACAACCCCCACAGCTGCTTTCATGGGCTGGGATTGAGTGCCTGCAGCTTTTTCAGGTGCGCAGTGCATGCTGTCAGTGGATCTCTCATCCTGGAGTCTGGAGGATGGTGACTGTCTTCTCACAGCTCCATTAGGCAGTGCCTCAGTGGGAACTTGGTGGGAGCTCCAACCCCACATTTCACCTCCACACTGCCCTTGTAGAGGTTCTCCATGAGGGATCCAGTCCTGCAGGAGACTTCTGCCTGGACATCCAGGTGTTTCCATACATCCTCTGAAATCTAGGCAGAGGCTCCCAAGTTTCAACTCTTGCCCTTTGAGTACCCACAGGCCCAATACTACAGGGAAGCCATCAAGACTTGGGGCTTACACCCTCTGAAGCAATGGCCCAAGCTGTACTTTGGCTCCTTTTAGCCATGACTGAAACTGGAGTGGCTGGGATTCAGGGCACCATGTCCCAAGGCTGCACAGAATAGTAAGGCCCTGGGCCTGGCCCACGAAACTGTTTCTCCCTCCTAGGCCTCTGGGCCTGTAATAGGAGGGGCTGCTATGAAGGTCTCTGAAATGTCTTAGAGGCATTTTCCCCATTGTCTTGGCTATTAACATTTGGCTCCTTTTTACTTATGTAAATTTCTGCAGCTGGCTTGAATTACTTCCCAGAAAATAGGTTTTTCTTTTCTACTACATGGCAGGCTGAAAAATTTCCAAGCTTTTATACTCTGCTTCCCTTTTAAATATAAGTTCCAATATCAGACCACCTTTTTTGTGAATGCATATGAGCATATGCTGTTAGAAGCAGCGAGGTCACTTATTGAATGGTTAGCTGCTTTGAAATTTCTTCCACCAGATACTCTAAATAATCTCTCTCAAGTTCAAATTTCACAGAGCAGGGGCACAATACCAGCAGTCTTTTTGCTGAAGCATAGCAAGAATGACCTTTACTCCAGTTTCCAGTAAGTTCCTCGTCTCCATCTAAGACCTCCTTAGCCTGGACTTCATTGTCTGTATCTCACTATCAGTATTTTGGTAAAAGTCATTCAAGAAGTCTCTAGAAAGTTCCAAACTTTCCCTTATCTTCCTGTCTTCTTCTGAGCCTTCCAAACTGTTCCAACCTCTGCCCATCCAAAGCTGCTTCCACAGTTTCAGGTATCTTTTGTAGCAATGCCCCACTTCTCTGATACCAATTTCCTGTATTAGTCCATTCTCATACTGCTATAAAGAACTATCTGAGACTGGGCAATCTATGAAGAAAAGAGGCTTAATTGACTCACAGTTCTGCAGGCTGTACAGAAGACATGGCTGGGGAGGCCTCAGAAAACTTACAATCATGGCAGACGGTGAAGGGGAAGCCAGCACATCTTTACATGATGGCAGGTAAGAGAGAGTGAAAGGGGAAGTGCTACACACTTTTAAACAAGCAGATCTCATGAGAACTCCATCATAAGACAGCAGTAGGGAGATGGTGCTAAACCATTAGAAACCACCCCCACGATCCAATCACCTCCCTCCAGGCTCCACCTCCAACACTCAGGGTCACAATTCAACATGAGATTTGGGTGGGGACACAGAGCCAAACGACATCAAGTAATAAGTAAATATGTCAAAGTATATAAAATTAAAATACAAAAATCAATTCTGTTTTCTTTTTAAAATTTTACAGACAGGGTCTTGCTCTGTTTACCCAGGCTGGAGTGCAGTGGCACAATTATAGCTCACTGCAGCCTCAAACTCCTTGCTCAAGTGATCCTCCCACCTCAGCCTCCTAAGTATCTGAGGCTACAGGCATGCGCCACCACATCCGGCTTATTTTTTATTTTTGTCAAGATGGGGGTCTCACTCTATTGAGCAAGCTGGTCTTGAACTCCTGGCCTCAAGTGATCCTCCTGCCTCGGCCTCACAAAGGATGAGATTTCAGACATGAGCCACTGTGCCTGGCCAATTCTATTCTTATATTTTAGCAGCAACCACTGGAAAATGAATTGAAAAACAATTTCATTTATAATAGGTTCAAAAATATTTAGCAGTACATTTAATAACATGTACACAGGTGTATATCTACATTTAGATGTACACATTTAGTTATACACCTGTTACACATAACAGATGTACACATCAGCATAGTGTATTATTAAACTTTTAGATTTTTGCTTATCTCATGGGAGAAAGTGTCTTCGTGTAGTTTAGTTTTTTTAAAAAAATGAGTGTATCTTTTCAAAAGTTAAAGAACCATTTGCTTTTTTTTTTTTTTTAAACATATTTTTAAATAGAGAGGGGGTCTCACTATGTTGCTCAGGCTGGTCTCTTAACTTCTGGGCTCAAGCTATCTGCCCACCTCAGCCTTCTAAAGTGCTGGGATGACAGGCATGAGCCACCATGCCCAGTTCCATTTGCTTTTCTTTTTCTATGTATTGGCTGTTCATATCCCTTGCACATTTGTTATTGAGTTTTGTCCTTTCCCTTATCTTTTTACAGGAACTTTAAAAGTTAGCCCCAAGAATGAAATTGTGTCCTTTGCCAAAACATGGATGGAGCTAGAGGCCATTATCCTAAGTGAATTAACGCAGGAACAGAAAGCCAAATACTGCATGTTCTCACTGATAAGTGGGAGCTAAACTATGGGTTCACAAAGGCATATAGAGTGGTACTGTGGACATCGGAGACTCAGAATGGGGGAGGCTAGGAGGGAGGTAGGGGATGAAAAAGTACCTATTGGGTACAATGTACACTACTTGGGGTGACGATGGGTCCACTAAAATCCCAGATTTAACCACTGTACAATTCATCCGTGTAACCAAAACCCACCTGTACCCCTAAAGCTATTAAAATAAATAAAACCAAATTAGCTGTTTCTGTTAGGTGAGTTGCAAATATTTTCCCAAGTTTGTCCTTTGTCTTTTGACTTTATTTATGGTGTTTTACTCATGCAGATGTTTTTGATTTTTATGTTTTTAACTTGTCATTATTTTCTTTCATGTCTTCTAGATTTTAAGTCATGTTCTCAAGGCTTTCCTACTCTGATATTATAAATGATTTTTTCCTCATTTCTCTTAGAACTTTGATTCTTTCACTTCCCACATTTAACCTTCCACCTATCCAGAATTTCCCCTAGCATAAATTGATATGGTCCCAATGTTTCTTTTTTTTCCTCCCCAAATGGCCACTCATTTATACCAACACCATTTATTGAATCGTCTTTATAGTCCCCACTGATTTGAAATGCCAGCTTTACATACCAAAGTCCTGTATGCATTTGCCTCCGTTCTGTTCAGTAGGTCTGTTCAAGCTCCAGTTCCCAAAAGTGTTGAGTGTCGCTTAAAATCTAGAAGGGCTGGTTTCTAGTTTTCCATAATTGCTCCTCTTTTCTAGAGTCATCTTTCCTATCAGGGCTTATTGATTTTTTAATATGATTTGTGGATTCAGTTTTCTTTAGTTCTAGTGAGCAACAAAAACAACCAAAAAAATAAAAATAAAAAAACCCTTCCTTTTTTTTTTTTTTTTTTTAATCAAGATCACCTTAAATTTAAAAATTAACTTAGGACAACTTGACATATTTTATGATTTTTATGTTACTCTCCAAAGATATAATAAGTGGTTCTGTTTATTCAACTCTACTTCTTTGTCCTGCAGGAACATTTTGTTTCCTTATTAAGTCTGATATTGTCTTTTGGTCTGAGACAGACATATTTTAGAAAATTGTGTTCATTGATTCCTATCTTATTAAAGACTGGTTTTGCTAACTTTATTTCTATCTATTTGTTGTGAACGTACATGGGACCTTTTCTTTCGTTATATTTTCTGGCTGTGAGTATGCACAGAGGCTTGTGATTTCTGTGTATTTATTTTATACCTTGATTGCTGAATGTGTTTTATTTCTAGTAATTTTTGTTTTTAGTTGGTTCTCATGAATTTTCCAGATATCCAATTATATAATTTGTAAATAGTCATAGCCTTGCCTCCTCTCTAACAATTTTTGTTTCTCTGATTTCTTTCTCTTGTCTGGTAGCTTTAGATAGTACCTCCAGAGTGTGTTAGATAATAAAAGGAAATAATGCCAATCAGACTTTTTTCTGACTTCAGATAGACATATATTTTTAAAAAAATTATGTTCATTCATTTCTATTTTATTAAATATATATATTTTTAAAACCTCAAAAGGCCAGGTGCAGTGGCTCACACCTGCAATCTCAGCACTTTGGGAGGCTGAGATGGGAGGATCGCGTGAGGCCAGGAGTTCAAGGCCAGCCTGGTCAACATAGTGGAACCCTATCTGTATTATTTTTAAAAACATAATAAACAAATAAAAGCCTCATATTGGAGATTAAATTTTGATAGGGCTTGTCTTACTATCTATAGATCTAGTCATATTACTTTCCCTTTAACTTATTAGTATGATATATTAATAATTCCTCCATCAAGTCATATTTGCATTTGGGAATAAATGTCACTTGGTCATCATATATTCTATTGGATAATTTATAATTTTTACATCAATATTTGTAAGACTGATCTGTAATTTTCCTTTATGTGTATGTGAAATTGTTACTGGGTTTTGGTGGCAGTGTTATAGTTGCTTTTTCAAAAAAATTTAAAAGTTTTTTTTCTTTTTCATAGTCTAGGTAGTTTAAATGGCACTGGAATGATCTGTTTTTTAAATATTTGGGAGAAATCCCTGTGAAACCGACTGGACTTAGGGAATTAGGGAGAGTGGTTGGCTAGTTTCTTTGTTTCATCTATGAAATAAATCTGCTTAAGATTTTTCTCTATTTTGTCATCAGGTTGGTAAATGATATCTTCCTAGAAAAATGATAATCTCATTCATATTTCAAATATAGTTGCATAGCATATTCAAATATATTAGTATAATATATAATATAATAATACCTATTAATATAATGTATAATATAATATGTTATAATATATAGTACTTCAAATATATTTGCATAGAATATTCAAATATATTTGTGAAGTTGTCTTTTGCTTCTTCTAATTTTCTGTAGTTATTGTCCCATTAGCATTTCTCATGTTATATGTTTTTAATTTCTCCCTTTTCCTTGCTTAGATTAAGCAGGAGTTTGTTTTATTTATTTTTTCAGAGAGTCAGCTTTGGTTGTATTTATCAGTTTTATTCTTTTTCTGTTTTCTAAATTATTAATTTCAACTTTATTATTTCCTTTTCTAACTCCATGAGTGGTATGCTGAATTCATTCATTTTTACTTTTGTTTATTAATATAATCATATGAGGATGTGAATTTTCATCTGAACACCACTGTAGCTATATCTCAGATTCTTAGTGTTAATATATATAATTAGCTGTTGTCATAATTATGATTTATGGTAGAAAGCCACTAGAGAGTTAAGGAAATTAGTAAATTTGCTTACTTAGGATGGGCCTAAATTAAGAAGGGCCTTGAATGATAGATGGTAGGCAGAGGACTTTAGACTCAATAAAAACAGTGTTAAGAAGCCATTGAAAATCCTTGCTTAGGAAACTAACAAGATACGTGTTGTCTGGAAAGATGAACGGCCCGTATAGCAGCAGTTACCTTATCTACTGCTTTGTCTTTTTCAAAACAAATGTTGGATAGGAAATGTCCTTTTCAGCAAAGATGGAAAAATGACATCTAACTATTTGCTTCTCAAAGATATTGCCAGATCTTGTAAATGAATATCCAGCTGGAACCTTCCACAATTGTTCTGAACGTTGTACTTACACTTGTTTGAAATCTTTAAAGTTCCTTTAAATGGGAAGTATATCCTAAAGTAATGAGACCAGGAAGCAGTCATTCATTTCTACTATGTATTTTGTGTTATTATCACTCACTTGGAATCTACCTTTGCTGTCAAAGGTGTCTTATTTCTCTACTAGATTGTTAACTCCTTATACAAATATAATATTTTTATATTGTAGGAGGGCAGTTAATATTTGTTACTAATTTATTTTACTTAAAACTGTTGTATAATTATAAAATTCTCACAGTGAGCATACAAATAATTGAAATACTCTTGAGATTATCTGCCTTATCTTTTTATTATTCCTAATTATATGGAACATTTTCAATGGTCTCATTATATTAAGTAGATAATCTACTTTATCCTGCCTTTTTAATCATTAGAGCAACTAAATTTGGATGTGTTTCATTGTACCGACGATCTCTTTTATTTGACTTTTGTGTCAAGGCCTTCCGCAGTATCCATCTGCTTCTAGTTTCTTACTGATTTTGCTGGGAGAGGCAATTGGCTATAAAAACTGTATCCTTAGGTTCCTCTGCTGGTAAGAGTAGCCATGTACTGGCCAGGCGCAGTGGCTCATGCCTGTAATCCTAGCTCTTTGGGAGACTAAGGTGGGCGGATTGCCTGAGCTCAGGAGTTCATGACCAGCCTGGGCAACACAGTGAAACCCCGTCTCTACTAAAATACAAAAAATTAGCTGGGTGTGGCAGCATGCACCTGTACTCCCAACTACTTGGGAAGCTGAGGCAGGAGAATTGCTTGAATCCGGGAGGCAGAGGTTGCAGTGAGCCGAGATCACGCCACCGCACTCCAGCTTGGGCGACAGAGGGAGACTCAAAAAAAAAAAAAAAAAAAAAGAGAAGCCACGTACTAAGTTCTGGCCTTTGGGATGGAGGTAGAGGTTATTGAGCAGAAAGTTCCCGCTTGGGATGTGGAAGGAAAGGTTAGGGGAAGAGGATCATGTTCCCAGAAAGGATGGTAGACTAGAAAGCTTGAAGTTGTGAACTAGACTGGCTACATAATTTGCAGGGCCCAGTGCAAAGTGGACATGCAGGACTGCAGTTCTCAATTATTAATACTCTAAAAATGCCAATAGCAGAGAATTACCCTAGCATTGGGTCCACAGGTCATAGCCCCATGACTGGCTCTGAGTGTGAAGGAACCCTGGGCCGGAGGAGGCCATGATCCCAGCCCTGGACTGCCAGTCTGTTCTTTTCATAGGGCACACAAACCTCCTTCTTATTTAAGCATCTGTTGTCTGGGTTTTCTGTTACATGTGTTCCATAACTGATGCAGGTTATCATTACCCTCATCTGATAGATGGAGAAACTGGAGCTCAGACAGGTTTAGTGCCCTGTGCATGGGAGCAGATTTTGGAGTATTCACAGACTCAGGTTCCGTGAATTTGAATTTGGGTCGTATATTCATTCAACACGTTGTCTTTCTTTTTCCACGGAGATGTTAACATTCTGCATTTCCTGTTTCTGGCCAGATTTTGCATTCCGCAAGTTTGCTTGTTTCACAATGCCCGCCTCTTTGTAGCCTATAGTAGGAGGAAGCACTTCATCCCATTTGTTTTTCCTCATTTACATTTAATTTTTACTCTGGAGTGAACATAATGCAGAAGTTCAGTCCACATTTAAAATATTGCTAAAAAGTGATTCACTTCCAATTCTAGCAAAATGTTTATCCCTCTGATTCCTTAGTAATTCTCTTTTTTCAGAGGAAGAGTTGAGATTACATAATGTAATTAAAAAAGAACTGGAAACATGGAAGATCGCATCTGATGTGAGTTTCTGTCTGACCTTTCAAGAGGGAAGCGTGTATTGGCGATTTTTCCAGTGAGATCACAATCAGAAGAATTTATCTGTCAATATATTCTTTTAATTTAGGATAAACCTAAGGATAAACAGTGTTCGTAGCTCTTCGCACATTCTGTCTATGGCCATGGGATGAGCTATGGCCATTAACTGTTATTTGTTTTATTAGCGCTAAAAACCATAGCTGCGACTTCAGCTTCCAAGGGATACCAGTGTAACAGAGGTGTTGTATTTGTTGCGTTCAAGTTCTCGTGCAATCTTAGTTTTGCTAAGCTCCCACAAAAGCGCCTAACCTTGGTTAACTCCCACAAGTCAACATTTCTGGAAC